GATAACACAGAACCTAGTCTGGGATAACACAGAACCTAGTCTGGGATAACACAGAACCTAATCTGTTAAAGAAACTCAAGGAACAGCAGCAAGAAAAATAAAACTGTAAGAAGAAAATGTGTTCAAAAAGGAAAAACAAAACAAGTCTTGAAGAATGAACCAACGTTACAATTAGGTCATTCCAAGTTCTGACTTCAACTACACAGTAGAAGTGTTTAAACAACAACAAAATCATTCTGCTTTCCTTTAAATCATAGTACACTTTGCTGGCTAGGCTCATCTCCTATGTGGCATCTAGAAGAATATACTGGAGGCCATAAACCACTGGGACACAGTGGCATAGGTCACTTAGTACTTATGAGGCTGAGGCAAGAAGAGAGAACACTTTAGCAACATGACACCTTAATTATTGGAGCTTTGTGTTAAGTTTTAAAATCAATTACTCCAAGTAACAAAACGTTCTCTTCATCAAATACATCTGTGTCATTTATAGCAAACGACGTTGGAACATCATTTTTAAAATGCCTTCAAATGTATGTAAACACCTGAAACAATGTGCTTGTTTGTCAAGGTGTAAAGAGCACAGCAGTGAATATATATATATTCTTCAAGAGAAAAGAAAAAGTGGCTAATGATGTTAGAAGCCTTGAGTGAGGTCAATGCTTCTACCAGGCCATTTCCAGAATGGCCTCTTACAAAAAGCAGGCTTATAGGCAGTTGAAGTTTAAGTGTGTTTGGATAGACTGTAGTAAAGTCTAGTAGTACCTAAAATCCACAGCAAACTATAGTGATTAAAACTGGTGAACTGCCACATATGGTAACATGGCTGCAGAAGGCAAGAATACAAATAATTGTGTTACAAATGCACACAGGCTATCAAATAGATATCATCACCTACCTCCATGTACATTAATATGCATGTTCTAAGAAGAGAATGTATTTAGATATTCCATACTGATACAACAGTAAAAACATGTCTTTCTTGTGTGTTTCTTAAATGAACTTCCTCTTGAGAAGAAAAATCTGTCCCTGATTGAAATTTCTAAAATATATTCTCAAAATCTGACTTTTTTACTGTGTGATCTTTACATGGAAAATCTGTATTGTAGGTAAAATAAAACAGTTTACATCTGTTTAAAAAAAAAAGAGAGAGAACACCAAATGTTTTATCAGTGTAGTTGTCTTTCTAGTCCACAAACACCTGACCTATGATGTTCAGATTTAAAATGCTCGGGCTCCCTTTTACAGAGTTGCTGAATGAAGCTTAGCAGTGGCAGTCAGTCAGTCCCTACTCACTTTGTCTTCTGATCTCTCCGCAGGCTCACGGTCCCTATCTGTGCATGTGTTCGAGGGTAGAAAGGGACAGGGAGGAAAGGTACGGCAGAAGCTCCTGGGTAAACTGGAAGTACAGCATATTCTCCCTAAAGATGGGAACCAGGAAGGGGCCTCACAGGCCCTGACAGCTGTTTAGGGGAGCTGTGGTACACACCCCCTGGGAGAGATGTCTGGGAAATAACTAGGAGCAGAGTCATCTTCCACAGACACAACCCAGGGTAGGACCTCAGGTTTGGGTCTACAAACAGCATTGCTGCTCAGCCTCAAAGTAATATGTGGTACTTTATATTCAATGCTAGACCAGTTACCCAAGAAAATATCAAGAATATAATACTGAATGCAGTGACATACTTAAGAAGTACATGAATTTTATATATAACACTGCTAGGTCTATTAAATCGCAAACAACACTCAAACGACTAGGAAGATGTCAGAGGAAGAGGAAATGTATTGGACGGGAGTCTTAACAACCAGGGGAACCCTACAAGAGACAAGTGCCCTTGCACTGCAAAATAAAAACCGATGTATGTGAACAACTTAAAGTCATGTAACGATAAAGATCCAACCCAAGTCTACCTGTCTCCAAGGCTTAGCATGTAACATGATGGGCTGGCTTGTTGGGGTTTCTGTCCCGCCCCGTACCCCACAGTCAGCAACTCCCAACGAAAATCACACACAGAACTCCATAAGGTTATACACTGATTGGCCCTTTAGGTCAGGCTACTTATTAGCTCTTATAACTTTTGTTACCCCATTATCCTTATCTACGTTAGCCACACGGGCTCAGTACCTTTCTCAGCTGGGCAGGTTACATCCTGTCTCTTCGGTGGTCTGCGCAGGAGTGGCGGAGGGACCTTCTTCCTTTGTAGCCTTATTCTATTCTCATTGCCCTGCCTCTACTTCCTGTCTGGTTGACCCGCCTATACTGCCTGCCTGGCCAATCAGTGTTTTATTAAAATATGATTGACAGAATACAGACAATTCTCCCACGCCATTAGCATACAGCTATCCTTTGATAACTCTGGGCAGTGAGTCTAGGCCTCTTCCAGATGCCCAAATCCATGGTAGCTCAAGTCCCTCGAGTATTACTGATAAGATCTAATATAATGTAGGCTATCTAAATCATCTCACTGTATTGCTTAGGAACAATAGCTTTCAAAACTCTGTACTGTTTCAGTACAAACATGATCATCTTACTAGAAGGAACACTACCGTCTGGCTTTAGAATAAAACTGTGACGTGGGGGGAAAGAGACAATGACTTGGAGCCAGCACAGAGAGAAGTGGGTTCTAGGCAAAGATGAGTAATCTAACAGATATTATGCTGATATTCTCAGACTAAAAACAACTGCAGTTAAAAACATAGTTGAGAATTTCTCTTCTATGTCCAAAGAGTGTTACCAAGAATTAAGGAAAAGATATTAAAAAAGAAAATTAAAAAAAAGACCATATTGGTAAAACCTTATAGGATGAAAGGTCTAAAGAATACAAAGAAAAAGAGGTTAAAGTTTTTGAACAATTATCAGTTCTTATATAAGAACAAATATCTCAGAAGCAGCAAGAATAAAAAGGAGACACCATAGCTAACATATACGTCTAGGTCACTCACTATAATAAAAATCAACATGATAATGACCCAGACAACAAATAAGAGGAACAGAAGAGAGAATCCAGGAGGAGATCCTAATGCATCAGTAGTTACATTCCAGTTCAGTGGCGATATGATGCTGGGCAGAGTAGCTATTCAACTTTAAAGACAATCTTACAGATACATAAAATAGAGGGCAAAGTATAGACTGCAAAAAGGAAGCAACCAGAAAACAAATAAATAAAACAAAATATAAGGAACTAAGAAAATTGTGCAAAACAACACAGCAGAAAGTGAGGTAAAATTATAGCACAGCAAAAGAGAGATGAGACAAATTATCTGCAATGTTAAAAGTATTTCTTACAAATTTGTAAGAAAGACTGGGTGGTGGTGCACACCTTTAATCCCAGCACTCAGGAGGCAGAGGCAGGCAGATCTCTGTGACTTCAAGGCCAGCTTGGTCTACAGAATGAATTTCAGGACAGAACTCACAGCTACAGAGAAACCCTGCCTCGAAAAACCAAAAAGTAAGAGAAAGACAGACAGTATTTGAGTAGTTGGTCAGGACAGGGGAGTGTAAAATGACAAGTACACGAGAAGACCCACCCTACCCGAGGAACACAATGAAAGGTCACTTAAAGCTTATTATCGGTCAAACACTAAGAAACCTTAGCATCTAGTACAGACAGGGAAACTGAGAAAGTGGGAACTGTTAGTCCACAGAATCTGTTCAGGGCCAGAGAGATGTCTCAGTGAGTAAAGGCATTTGCGGCCAACCCTGAATAACTCAGTTCAGTGACTGGAGTCTACACAGTGAAAAGAGAGAACTCTCCTTGCTTCTCTGACCCACAGACAAGCATTGTGGCATGTGTACTCATACACACAAAGTAAGATAAATACAATTCTGAGATAGATGGTATATTATATTACACCCATCAGAAAAATACAGCAATTTATATTATTTACCTGACGTGGATTCTGTTGACCGAATTTCACTTGATGAGTGACAGCCTTAATAAACTTCTGTTGCTTTGCTCCTTTCTTATTCTTTAGACCAAAAGTTTTGTCCTAAATGGGAAAGAACAGAAATATTTTGGTAAATTATTATCTTTTCAATGATGTAAATACTTATTTATTGATAGACAAAACAAGTCTTTTTAAAAAATAAGATGTATTTTTATTTTAGTGCACATGTGTTTTGCCTGCATGCAAGTCTGTGTGCCACATGTGTACAGTGCCCATGGAGGCCAGAACAGGGTGTTGGGAAATGAACCTGGGTCATCTGGAAGCACATCCAGTGTTCTTCACATGCTAAACCATCCCTCTATCCTCAGAAAATAGATTCTTTATGTCACAAAATTACATAAAATATTACAGCACCAGGCAAAGGCAATAAATCACTATAAACAAAAGCAACTGGGGGTGGGGGGATGAGCTGATGCCCAGGCCACGGAGGACTGCTGCCTACTGGGCTGCTCCGCACAGCTTGTTCAACTGGCTTTCTTATAGCACTCAGGATCACCAGCCTAGGGGGGGCACTGCCCAGTGAGTTAGGCCCTCCCACATCAATCATCAATCAAGAAATTAAGGTCAATCTTGGGAGGGTACTTCCTCAATTGAGGTCTTCCCTAATAACTGTGGCCTGTGTCAGCTGGCCTAACAAGTAGCTAGCACAATGAAAATGAACGTTTGACACTCGAAACATCAACTAGGACCAGTCGCAATTTAACGCCAACCGACAACTGTCACTGCCACCATTCGGCTGACCGTGCTTCTTTTTCCTCAGGATGTTTCAGACCATCAGGTCTTTGGGACCTGCGGAGGAGTCATACTGGTACAAGTCGTCCCACAAACAAGCTGAGGGAAATGCTATGTGGAGAGAGAGTATTCTTAGCTTCTTTCGCAGTGCTGGTAGAATCCAGGGCAATGGGCATATAAATCACAAGATATCTTAGCATCCCCTTTAGCAGAGTGGATGCACACAGCACTTTCAAAACTCAAGTGATCTCAGGATGTACGTTTGTAAGCTTATGCTGAATGAAGGTCTACTGAACAAGAAAGGACACATTAACCAGAAAGCAGCATTTTTTATTAAGTTTGGTAATTTATTAGTTCACTGGACGGTTCCCATTACGGAGATTCTCATTTTGTGAGCAGCACTTATGGTAATCCTTGGCTCTCTACCTCATATTTAATCAGTATGCTAACAAAAGCCTTTAGAAAGGATTTCAGATGTTTGTTTTGTCTTTTGTTTTCTGGAGACAGCCTTTCTCTGTATTCTGAAACTTGCTCCGAAGACCAGGCTAACCATGAACTCACAGAGCTCTGCCTGCCTCTGCCTCCAGAATGCTATGATTAAAGGTGAGCCACCAGGGTCAGTGTGGGACTTCAGATATGTAAAGATGTGTGTACATGGTTTTGGGGCTGTAATGAGGTGAGTGGTACCCCTTGAAAACTTTTATCTACCACACTTTAAATGTGACTTTATTTGGAAACAAGTTTTTGTGGATATAATCTTCAAATGAGGTTAAACTGAGAAAAGGCAATGTGAAGGCAGCAGAGATTAACACAAACACAAGTTAAGAAAAACCAAAGATTGCCGGATGACATCAGACAATAGGAAGAAGCCAAGGAGAATGCCCCCACACCCTCCTTCAGAAAGGGGACACGAATATGTTGATCATGGATTTCAGACTTCTTTATCCAGAATGGTGAAAAAAAAAACAAGCAGTCTAGTAATAGTTTTGGGTAATTTGTTACAGCAGCCTAAAGAAACTAAAACAGTGAGATCGGCCCTAACACGGGCGGTTGGCACTACCATCTGAACTCTGTTTCATTTATGTAACGCCATTTTCCTGCAAGGATCTGGCTAGGAGAGACACAAGCCTGACTACAGGGCAGAGAAGGGAACGGTGGGAGGCAGCTATCTTCAGGTTTATTAAACAGATCGTTCTCAGGACCATTTCCTTGGTACTTCTGGGAGGTGGGGAAGACAGGGATTACTATGTAGCCCAGGATAGCCTTGACTAATCTTGCCTCACCTTTTACCACATACTACCACACCCAGCTTCAGCCTTACATTTTAACCAATTTCCCTAAAGCCTCTGTGCCTGTGCAGTGTTTGTAAAAGAACGCCACCCTTCACAACAGAGAGCTCAGTCCTGCCTGTGTTCTAGATCAGTCACCAACTCATCCATGAGCTGCCAACGTTTACACGTGGATGTTCAATATTACAGATGGCTCTAGCCTCAAAACAGAATTTGTATTTTTTCTTCTCATTCTCTTTTGAGTGGTTTCACAGAATGCAAAAAAAAAAATATTCTGAATTCTCTGAAAACTTTAAGTCTGAAATAAAACACTATTGAGTGAACTATCTGACACCACGTAACATAACACAATCTTTCTAGTACCTTAAACCCAATACAGTCTTTCAATGTCTTTAACAGTGAAAAGCTCAAAGGTGTTTTGATTCTAAAAGGTTACTTCTCACTGGTAAATACTGCTTTACTCATTACCGTGTACTTAAACTTTGCTTTACTTTTACTTACCTAAATGTTTGCTTGTGTTTTAATATCCCAGCACGGTATTACAAAACTACACACATATTCCATAGGTTATGCACATGAAAATGAAAACACATAAGCTGAAATTGCTCTTTACCAAGCTTTTAATGGCATCTTCTGTTTTTGTAAAAAGCTTAATATTCTAGCCAATTCCAGGGTATGATGGCCAAAGATCATGTGACATATTGGGGATTAGTTTAGGTATGAACCAAGTATGAAACACCCTACTTTCTTTGTACAGTAACGAGCTATCATGAGTGAAAGGAGAATATAGTACCAACAATATCTATAAATGCTTTGCCCAACATGCAAGCACAGAGAAGCAATAAACCATGAATAAATAAAATTGGACAGTAAACCATACACTGACATAGAAATATTTAAGCAAGAAAAAAAAAAGGCAGCTTGAGAACAGACTTCCAATAGCAGTTCCTAGGAGAAGCACGTAATTCCAGACCTGAAGAGGAACACAACAACAAAACACAAACAAACAGACAAACCCCAGCAAGCTTCCAGGTTTAACTACACTGTCTGTCTCTCTTGAATCTTCCTCACAGTCCATAGGTATGTCTTCCTACAGCCATAGAAGCTTTGGCATGTTTCCAAGTTGTTTAAGAATATAACCTAGAGTCAAACTGGGCTGGGTAACTGTCATAGGAAAAGTGAGTCTAACCTTATGTATGAATTAAAGATTTGCTAACACTGAGGCACTACAGAAAGTACCTGACAGCAAGGACTTGGGGGGCCTGACCTTCTGGGTTTAAATCCCGGCTTCCTGCTTGCCAGTTCAGTATACCTTGGGCAAGTTATTTAAGCTTTGTGCCTGTTATCTCAACTGTATAATGAGTACTAACACTTATCTGAAACAAATAAAGGCGCTATGTATCACTTAAATACAAGGTTTTTCCCTTCTTCAAAATACTGAGGAAACTGTGTCTAGTTCAATATTTGTCAACTATTAAATGAATAATATTTAAATTAAAAAGTATCTGATCTAAGTTCTTGCTCCTCCCACCACCAAAACCTATGTTTTTCAGAGACCTGGTTAAGTCAAAGATGAAGATGGTTCACCAAAAGCACCCCCTACACACACACACACACACACACACACACACACACACACAAAACCTAGGCTGGCATAAGACTGGATGTGTAGCTGAGGATGAACTTGAACTTCCCATCTACTTGCTTCTATCTCCAGAGTGCTAGAATTATAGAAACACACCACAATGCCCAATGTGTGGTAGGCAGGCACTCTACCTGAGCGACAGTCCCTGTTACAAAAGCCTTCTAAAGAGTACATTCTGAATAATACTGGTACACCTCAAAAGTAGGGTGGTTTATGACCCAAACTATGTCAATAAAGCCTTTCCTTGGGCTCTGGACAAACTCTTAACCAAGAGTTGACATTGATTTGGGAGCGGGAAAGTATTAGGTAGAAAAAGGTTTCAGTGACTCCCAGAAAGCTAGGAAAACACCGCATGTTTAAGGTTTCAAACACCAGTTACAAGGAAAGAAGGGTATGTTTCCGTAGGTGGAGAAGCAGAACGTCAGAAAGAGCTGACTGACAACGCTGACCTTTCCTCTTCTGAGCCTTAAGCAATCCTGCTCCCTTTACAGGCCAGCTCCTGCTCCTTAAAGATGTTTAAGAAAAAACAAAGCCAAGAGAGTTGACAGTGTTTCAAGGTACGTGGGTTCTGGGATCTATTATCTGGGACCCTAGGGTAGACAGAGGCTGACATTGTATTAACTTGGTGGTTTTGTCTCCAAATACACAACCTAATAGATTTTGTTGTCTATTTATAAATGGACACTTTGCAACTGATTAACTTAGCTGCCAGCAATCAACAGTTTCTACATCCTTCTTTCAAACCTAGGTCCTGTCTGCAGAGGTCTCCATGGTAACTATTCTGCAGTGCTCCTGTGCCCAGGGGAACATACATTCCTTATCTGTTTGCCCTAAACCCAGACACTGCCAACCCAAACCAACGATTATACTTCTTCTTTTGTTAAAAAAGATTTATTTTCATGCGCCTAAATGTTATGTCTATGTGAAGGCACCAGATCCTCTGGAACTGGAGTTACAGACAGTTGAGACCTGCCGTATGGGTGCTGGGAACTGACCCTGGGTTCTCTGGAAGAGCGGCCAGAACTCTTAATCGCTGAGCCATCTCTCCAGCCCCCCCATTTCTTTTATCCTTTAATTTTATATTATAGCCAATGCTGTCCTCAAATTGGAAATCCTTGTGCCTTTGCCCGGATTCTGGCACTGGCTGGTCTATGATCGGACAGTTTGTTGCTCAAAGTTGATCTCAAAGTATTATTTTGGCTCTAAGAAAACAGATGTTCTATACTGTCTGGGGACCACGTGTGCACAGAGAATAAACTTGAACTACTGTGTGATGCAGCCATTTCAAGACAACACATACTCACACAAGTAACCCTGTGATCCTTGGGCAGTTTAAAGGAGGAAGAGGGGAATATGCAGACAATTTTCTTACAAAAATAGAGGGCTTTACACGAAATTTGACTAAGGAGCCAAAATATAAGCTTAACTACCACTGAAATCATCAAGACATGCTAGGGTCTTAGAGAAATTACAAACAAATCAGACCAGGCTTAATTCCATTTCTCTATTAGCATACTTTCAATCAGGTAAATGGTGGAGTTTTTTGTTTTTTTAAGCTTTGAAGATGTCTTCACTTATGGAAACTAAGATGGATCTCTTTACTTCAAAAACAAAAATACAACCATCAAACAAACAGACTCTTGTTGACTAGGACTGCAGACAGTGGCCAACTGCAACCCTGGAGTGTGTGATGTTTAGGCACAACACCCAGAAAAGTAACAATCTTGTTACAAGATGAATGAAGCCAACATAGATGCATGAATTTTAGGGGAAACAGAATACTATAAATAACTCTGACTTTTTTGCTTTTTGTTTTTCAAACAGTGGTTCTCTGTATAGCCCTGGCTGTCCTGGAACTCACTCTGAGGACCGGGCTGTCTTCACACTTCACACTCGGAGACACTGGCACCACCACTTTAAAGAAATAACTTTAGTCTTATTAATTAAAAGTGGTTAAAGCTCTAAATTCTCTGAAGTGTATCTAACTTTTACTGTCTTGTGGTCTCTATTTTGCTGGTTCCACCACAGAATAGTATCTTGGAATGTCTTTTGTTGGCACAGCACTGAACTGCCATCGGATTTTTGGTTCCCAAATCCTGTGAAGATGACAATTATTTAGCTTTCCTTTCCTTTTCTTTCTTCTTTTTTTTTTCCCCCCCCCTGAGACAGGGTTTCTCTTTGCAGACCCTGCGGTCTTGGAACTCCTCTGTCAACCAGGCTGGCCTTGAACTCACAGAGCTCTGCCTGCCACTGTCTCCCGAGTAATTCAAGGTCTGCCCCACCACTGGCAAGCAATTATTCTGCTTTCAAATGTTTTGGATATGACAGTTCCACAACAGAGTTACAACAGCCAGGAGTATTACTGTCTCCACAGTTTTATTCAAGTCAGCCACCAACTTTAACTACGTACAATTGGACTTGGAGAAGGGAACTCTGGGGATTCTCACTGCTATCTTTCACGTCTGGAACAATCAAATGTTGAAAAACAAAAAAATAAACAAACATGGCATTCCAAAACATTCATTCTGGTATTTTAGTAAGAACGAACCTATACAGGGCTCCTTTTTATTCAGATCTGTTATGCTGTAAAACGGTCACTGCTTTTCCCAACTACACCCCGAACCTATGAAATACCATTTGTTTTTAAGGACGAGGAGGATTAGTAGGAAAGATCTCACAAAGAGATGCACGTCGTTTCCCAAATGTCAGACATGGCTAACCATCTTAAGGAAACTCACGTATACAACCGCTGCAAACCTACTGAAGAACATTTAAGGACATCAATCCCTTGCATCGCTCACTGAAGGCCTACACGTTTAATGCACTCAAAGTCGTCGTGTGTGTGTGTGTGTGTGTGTGTGTGTGTGTGTAGATAAACTGGGAGCACCGTCATCAACACAGGCAGTGACACAGCCTACACATGTAATTCGGAATCGGAATTAAATACTCTGGACAAGACTGCTGGGTTACCCTGTGCTTGACCCTGAAGTTTTCAGATGGACCAAA